TGTTAGGTGGTGTCTTGGGGGATCAAACTGAGATGCTCAGGATTTACTTGGCATGTTGGTGTCCCCTCTCTTCCCGGGATCCAAATGTCTAAAGAGCTGTTCTTCCAGAGTGAAAAATCTGGGATGCCAATGGGATTCCCGAGGACTTTTCGGACAGCCTGGGTCTTCCTCGCCAGAGAAGAAGGGGGACTTGGGTCCAGTTTATGGCTTCCAGTGGAGGCATTTTTGGGGCCAGAATTACACGAGATATGAATCAGGTGTAAGGAGACAGAACAATGCCGTTCCATTTTCCTGAGTGCCCTTGCCTGGCATGTGTTGTTGCTCTGTTGTTTTAGATAAGGTCTGGGGGTGACTGAGTCAGTGTCCCAAGAGGTGATGTATAGCTTTGACCTTTTGGGGGTGGTGCCAGTGCGTAGCCAAATTAAGCCTCATGAAAGGCCATTTAACACTTTTTTTTTTTTTTTTTTTTTTTTTTTGAGACGGAGTCTTGCTCTGCGCCCAGGCTGGAGTGCGAGTTGGTGTGACCCTCAGCCTCACTGCAAGCTCCGCCTCCCGGTTCACGCCATTCTCCTGCCTCAAGCCCGTCCGGAGGTAGCTGGGACTACAGGCGCCCGCCACCTCGGGGCCCGGCTAGTTTTTCATATTTTTTAGTAGAGACGGGGTTTCACTGTGTTAGCCAGGATGGTCTTGATCTCCTGACCTCGTGATCCGCCCGTCTCGACCTCCCAAAGTGCTGGGATTACAGGCTTGAGCCACCGCGCCCGGCCTCACACTCTTGATGATTAGTACTTACTGGACGCTTGGCACTTTCCATACCTGTGTCATCGGCAGATAGCCGCATGGTTGGTGTTTGTGTTGGGGAATGGGAAGTTCATCCGTGGGACAAGGGACAAAATGCCCCCATTGCTTTGTGGTAGCTTTAATTGCCCTTTCAAGGCTGAGCCACAGCGTGCTGTAGGTGGCGCAGCTGTGAAGCACAGTGCCAGGGTCACCCTCTGCTGCCAGCTCTGCAGATGTGGAGAAAGAATGAAACATCTCACTCCTGGACTTCCACTTTACTGTCACTGTTGGTGTCACTTCTTGCTGGATGTCAGCCCAGCCCCTCCCACCTGTCCCTAGGAAAAGCAGATGCCACCTTGGGATGTGGGGGTTGTGTGTGCAATTTACTAGCTGGGCAGAGACCAGCAACCTGGAGAGCACGTGTCTCATCTAAGGGGACAGTCACAATTTACCTCCAGCCACCTGGAGGAATTTGGGCCTGGTGATGTCAGAATTATTCGATAAAAGCCTAAATTCTACATCTTATGTGCGATCATGAGATCTTTTAAATGTTAGTAGTTTCAGGAAGTTTAAAAATGCTGTGTGGACCTAGAATAGGCAGGTTCCTAAAGGCAGAAAGTGGAATGGTGGTTGCCAGGGACTGGGGAACAGGGAGGAATGCGGAGTTCATGTTTAATGGGCACAGAGGTTTTATTAGGGATGATGAAAAAGTTCGGGAGATGGATAGTGGTGATGGTTGCACAACATCGGGCATGTGCTGAATGCCTCTGAATTGCACACATAAAAATGGTAAGTTTGATGTTACGTGTACTTTATCACAATGAAAACAGCTGCTGTGTGGGCCAGGTTATTTGTGCAGGTAAGTGTTCTTTAGGTCGTTGCCTGCACCTCAGTTGTAGGGTGTCCTTAGGATGTGAGGCTACTCCCCTGGCTTAATGATGCTTTAAATCCTGCCTAGTGTTCAATTATTTCTTGGCACTGAAGAGGCCTAATAAAATTACGGTTTTAGTTTACAGTTGTATGAGTGCTTAGCTGTTGGATTTTAGTAGGGAAGTTTGTCCCTTCTTATTTTTGATTTTGTTTTACAGACTCACAGGACATTTTTTTAAAAAAATGCATAGGAAGTTTCCCTGGACTGTACCCAGTTTCCTCCAGTGATAGTATCTTGGGTAACATCCTGTATACATTCACATTGGTGCATTCTTCAGAGTTGTCAGATTTTGCTAGTTTTACATGCACTTGTATATGTGTGTATTTGCAATTTTAGCACGTGTAGATTGTTGTAACCACTACAATCAAGTTACAGAACTACACCACCACAGTTTTATCTTTTTAAAATCTTCGATGTTACCTTTTTCAGAACTGTGACCATGAGAGGACTTTCCTCCCAAAATTTTGAGAACTACTGAACCAGAATATAGTCTGACACTAATAGGCAGAAATTTAACCAGAGGAGATTATGAAGCTCCGCACTTCAGTTAACAAATCACTTCTCAGAATCTCAGATGGAACAAATCAGTTCCATCTCAAATCAGTTCCATCTCAGAAGGAAGGAAAGGGATTAAAATTCAGAAACCAGAAATGGGAGCAAAGTACAAGGTGGTGTAATCATTATAGAGGTTTCCTGACGTTTCCAAGTCAGTCGTGTGTTGAGCTGCTAAACTCTAAAGTAATTTTAGGTGGAAGTGTTGGAAGCATGCTGCTGAGGTAATAGAAAGGAATCCATGGTCTTCTGTTAGTTGGAAAGTACATGGAATGCTATATTCTACATAAGATACAATACTTTCTGTGAGACAAGGATAAACTAGATTTGTCAGTGAAATTGTGACAAGAATCGTTGATGGGTTTAGAGCGTAAGTTCGTGGGGAGCACTGGAAGAAATTAAGATTGTTGAGATTAGAAAGGGTTAGCTATGAGGGGAACAGGAGGAGGTGACTCCATGACAGACCAGATATTCAAAGGACTGTAAAAGAGGAAATAGACTTTGTTAGGGCTCCAGAGGACAGAGCCGGGAGTCAGACAGGGCCTTGAACTCAACCCACCGAGATCTGCAAACTTTATGGAATGCACCAGGTATCTTGTAGCCATGGGTCAAGGGGGGACCCTCGGTGAGAGGCTGTAATAGATGACCTCTAAGGCCATCTCATGACATGTGTGATTAATGTGTGTACCTGTCCTCTCTTTTTGACAATTCTACAGATTATTCAGGACAGGGAGTTGACCAACTGCAAAGAGTGATTGACACCATCAAAACCAACCCTGACGACAGAAGAATCATCATGTGTGCTTGGAATCCAAGAGGTTGAAAGAACCCCATCATCTTCATTTATACTAACCATACTCTTAGAGGGAAGCAATGTGGTTTTGTGCAGATGTTCTGTGTGTGTGTGTGTATTTTCTCCAGTTATCATTCGGTTGTGTGGACCTGTGGGGCAAAGTCCACATTTTGCTCCACGTTCACCTCAGATCATGAATTGGTTGGTTCCAGATGATTTTCTTTTTTTTTTTTTCCCTGAACAGAGTTTTGTGTGTGTGTGTTGTTAGTGGTGTGTGTGTATCCTCTGCTGTGTTCAAATGATTCTCCTGGCTCTGCCTCCCGAGTAGCTGGGATTACAGGCATGACCGCCAGCCCCATGAATTTGTTGGTATTTTGGGAGTGGATGGGTTTCACCATGTTGGGTCAGGCTGGTCGTCGAATCCTGATCCTCAGGTGATCTGCCGTGCCTCGGGCCTTTCCCCACCAGATGATTCTTAATTTGTGTATTTATACTCATCTTACTCTGAAAAGGGCTGTTAAATTGCCTAGAAACTACATTAAGCTGTTAACATTTTAAATGGAAGCCGATGAAGTTCTAGGTCGCTGCCACCTCCACACATTTTAACAATTATACTGTTAAAATTCAACTCTGACTAGGTGTATGTAATCATG